GAATATATATACTTTGTGGGGTCTGCCACGCCTCCTTCTGCCTGTTACATACATTTAACAAAACCATTATACCTCTTGCTTCAATTTCAGAGGCTATATTTATTTAGTTTATTAGAATGGGACGTTATTCCGACACTATGATAGCGCGAGCTTATGGAAGAGTGATTATTGCCTTCAGCCAATTCAGCAATCGGATAATCAAGTCCTCCTACTGCCTCATCATTGCATCGAGCCAACCGACAGAACCAACGCCTACAGTAAGATTCATCGAATTAGTAATACTTTTATCTGAGGTCATATGAATAAGGTATTTTTAATCAAAAGCACTATTATTAAGACTGATTTAAAATATTGCAAAATATGTATGACCATAGAAGCTTAAAATTATCTAACTACTCGATTTATGCTAAAAAAACAAAATATTTTGAACCGTCTTTATGGAGTAGGATATAAACAAAAATACCCTGTAATTAATTAATAATTAATAGGCTAATGCCGAAAATCACAAATATAGATACAGATATAAATATAGTATAACTGCAATGTGTCGCAGCTAGGACTTTATAAGGGATTAGTTTCCATAACAAATATTCGATTGCTTTTGGATAGGGAAGGAGTATTACGCAGCGGATAGCGCTCGGCTGCAACTTTGTTACCTATTCTATTCCTTTTTACTTTACAGCTCAAATAGTGTCGATATTCTTCATGATTATGTTAATCATTGTCTACATGCTGCTGCCCAATTTCAAGTCTATCCATGGCAAGTGTTGCATCTGTTACTTCCGCTGCCTCACTGTTCTAGTCTTCAACTGGACAGACACCAGTCATGGCATTGCCTGCAAATTGTTTGGTATGTTTCGTCAAGTGATGGACATTTCTCAATTTGTATATCATATATATGAATCAAAATATATTTATCTGTCAGGGTATGCTGGATATTATGCCGTTTTGGTAACATTCTGTTGGCTTTCGGTAATAAATTATAACCTGTGGAAGACGTTCAACAACATTGGCGTCGGGCAAAAGGTCCGGTTCGCTAGGTACAACATCATCGTTTGGAGTGCTGCTGCCGTCTTGGTGTTAGTTATATTTCTGTTCGATTATCTTCATGAATTTATGGGCATTCCGATCAATTTGATACCGGGTATCGGTCTCTACACGTGCTGGATCAATAGTGAGCATAATGCATTTATAAAAGATTCATTTGCCTTAATTAGCATTTGCCGGTAGCTTTTTGTTGGTCAGCCATGATCTACTACTTTGGGCCAATACTCCTTCTGCTTCTTCTCAATATTACACTTCTTATTAAAACAACAAATCGAATAGTTGTACAAAACAGAGGGAACCGACGCGTACTAAAATTATCGGATGGCCAGCGCAACTTCAGAAATCTGACTAAGTAAGCTTCATTGCTGTTTACTTAATAACTATTATCTTGAATATAACAAATGTAATTCGCTTTTCATTCTATTTTTAGTTTGAAAATGTTCTTTCGGCTTTTTATAATAGTGGGCGTCATTTGGATTCTTGAAATCTCATCTTTCGTGCTACAATTTACTACCGTCAATCCGACATGGATCAGAGCTATTGATATACTTACTTCTGGACAAGGCGTTACTGTGTTTATGCTAACTGTTTTGAAGAAGGATGTGTTAACCGCTCTTGTTGACAGGTAAGTTCTTTAGTTTGTTATGAGTCCTTCAACTTTATTTATGTGACCGAGCTTAGATTTCGACAAAAAAAGAAACAATCCGATGTCCAACTGAAATATTATTGATGTCAAAAAAGTCTCAAACATTATTAACTGAGACGCAATAAATGTTCCAGAATGGCTACGCCTGCACTGAGAATACACAATGGTCCTTCACTCGATTCTGTTTACCATAAAATAATATACATACTTAGTTTAATAAAACATATTTTAGAGTAAATATAGTTTATTTTGTAATATTGGTTGTCATGAACTTAGCAAATATATTACTCACTCAAGTCTGTGTAATTATAAGATTCAATTTGAATATTGACGCAATCCTTTAGGAGATGCGCACTAATTAGAACTGACCTTCATGTGTTCCTACCTAATTTGTATTTAGAATGTGGTATTATATCAAATATCAAAAGTATATTAATATATACATAGGCGTTGTCGTATGTATGCCATATAACTAACTACGATTTGTAGTTGAATTAAACGACTTCAGTCAAAACTAGGACGCGTTATAACGTTTTGTAAAAGCGTTTCGTTGCACTAATGAAAGTAAAACTATTTTTAAATTAAATACAGCACAATTATAGAGTTTTTGAAACTGAACTAGATGCACTTGCACGTGGCGAGGATTGCGGCAAAACTGAAAACTGAACTCCTCTACTCCTATCTATGTACGTCGGGTCAGCTGATCAGAGCACTTCGGTATTCGTGCGCTTCAGATGAAACTCCACCATGTTGTCCAAATCGCAAATAGATGTCTTGGACTTTTTTATGTCTGCACTGAGAATTCGCAAATTCGACGTATAATCAGGCAGTCGGCTCAAGCTGGCTGCCATTTCCTGAGCCATCTGCCTGGCCAACTGAGCAAAGGTCAAACGAGACTTTCCCAATCGTCGTAGTGGGCTGAACAGTTCGTGCATCTCTCTGAGCTCGCCATAGTCTAATACCTGCCATTGTCCACTCTCCATATTCCACGTAAAAAGAATACGACACTCGTACTGTCGATTGTGGAAAACACATCCCATGCGACCTGTGCAGTACATGCAATTGGTTGGAGCTGTTGGCATTTGATCTCGGGCCGAGAATTGTGCCATTAGCATGAAGCTAATAGTCTGGCTGAGCGGGCACACATTGACGAACTCGTATGCCCAGTCATAGAATACATTGTAGATCTTCTGGTGCTTCTGACAGATCATGCTAATAACGTAATATGTGAACGTCTCAAGATCGAAGGAGTGCTGCGTAATAACCACACTGCTGCACCGTAAGCGTTGATACGATGATTGCGATATCATTTGCATTTCCGAGTAGCAAGACCCATGCACCTCCATGGGAAGCGAGGTGTGATAGCCCGGTGAGATGCAGTCATCTGTGTATGAATCAGGATATGTATATATATATATTTGATTGAATGTAGATTTTATAATCACTTATAGGCTTACCCTCCTCACTAGTAATCACCGAGGTGGCATCGTCTTCATCTACATAGCGGCGCCGCAACTTCTTGGTGCAGACCGGCTTCTCCGTCATAACTCCACCTTGAACTGGCATTTCAACAATGCGTTGCTCATCACGTCGTGGTGATAAAAAGGACAAGCTAGCGTTCGGGGACATCGACCCACCAATTTCGAAGCGCTTGGCCATAGATACCTGCAATGGCGATAATGCACCTAAAGGTCCAACGGGCTTATAGCTGAGCATCTGCTGGGTCGCCTGAGACAAAGGCGGCGACTTTTGATTGTATATTTGAGCTGCTACTGTGGCTGCATTTGCATTACGGCTGGGCGAACGCATTAAATTCGAGCTAGAAGGCGGCGAACGAAATCCCAAGTGCAACGGCGGTGGCGGGGTATGTGAAGGCTGTGCGGGGTGTGGAGAGGATGAGGGCGAAGCACAGGGAGAGTTGTGAAAATAATGTGCCGTTGGCGAGAATCGATGCAAACTACGCTGAGCGGTTGAGCTGGCAGTCGATGGACTAAACGTTGTTCGTCCTGCCGAACGTATCTTAGTGAAAGGTATAATATTTTCAGAGTTATCCTCGGAGAACTCGTACTTCTTGTCAGCCAGGCGGCGTTTGCGAAATGTCGAGATTTTCTCACACTTTTCGTTATCCTCGGAGAACTCATATGCATTTGACTTGTCTGTCATTGAGCTTGAAGTCGATGTGTGCTGTGAGGAATAGAATAATTAACGATATTGATATAATGAAATATTGTCATTCGCATTTTAATCTCACTTGCATATCAATAGTTGTTATACCGTTGCGGTAAGATTTAGTGACAATGCGCTGATTGCGCCTTCTCGATTGGCTCGAATCATTGGTGCCCACTGAATTTTGCATGCTCACTGGCAGGCTGGTCTCCATTAAGGTCATACTGGATGTGGACAGCGCGTTGCCACAGTTCGAGGAGAAAATTAACTTTTCATAACTGCTACTATTGTGCTCTGGGCCAGCACGTTGTGGATTTTCGTTGTTGTTGATGATGTTATTGCTATTGTTGTTGTTGTTGCTATTGGTGCGCTGAGTATGATCAGTTTCAATATCACTGAAGTCCGCAATGATGCGTGCCACAACACTGTGCTCGCTGTCCGCCTCGGAGCCAGTAAATGGCACGGAGCAGCGATCCTCTTCATTGGGCAGCGGAGTTCGTGGCAGAAACAAGGTATGCTGGGTGCTGGGCAGATTAAAGTTTTGCTGTGGTAAGCTACTGCTGTTGTTGTTGGGTACGACCGGCGTGTCCACATCGATGCGCAGCATGTGTACGAATCCATTCGAGATAATGAGGATGCGTTCGGGGCAAAGCAGATTTATTGTCGGAACGAAACGGGGATCCGTTTCAGTCGAGGAATACTTTGTGTGTACTGTCAAATGACAATTGAGACAATGTGCGTTGTAAAAGGAATCTATAAATACAAAAATCGATTATTTGGATAATTCCATCAGCATTAAGAATGAATGCTAATTACATGGACCGTCATCGCAAAGCTTTTTGCACTCCAAACAACCGAGTTTAGGAACTTTGACATATGTTATATAGCTTTCTTCACTCTCTTCCATTGCCGCACCGTGCACAACCAGAATTTGCTTGTCCGCATTCTTCCACTGCGTCATTGTGACCGATTTCACATTATCCACCACATGATCGTCGAATAAGCGGCGCGAGAAAAAATATCGCAGTTTTTTGTGCGGTTGGAAGAGCCAAAAATAAAGACTATAGTAAAAGAGCAAACAATTAAAAAATGACTGTGTGCTGCTGTTTACATGCAATTCGCACAGCTTACGTGTATTTGTAGCCTACATTGAAGGAGTAATGGTTGAGCGAAGTGCTATCGTTGCACTCAACTCGATGGCTGATCATGTACTGCCCGCAAGCAGTCAGGCCCATGAATATGTGCCTAGAAGAGGGTTCATTTAGCGCATTTTGAGATTGAGACTGGGAATGCCTTACCCTTCCAACGTATTGTTGGCCAATACGTCCTTGAGATATAGTTTTAACCTATTTGGCACCTGGTCATATGGAAGTTTCTGTTTTTGGCCCGCTCGAGACCGACCTGAGAAAAATCCTGTGCGCTATACAAGAATATATTCGTCAGTACGAAAGCAATTTGAGTATTTATTAATCTCCCAATCACATACCTCTCTATCGTACAATATTTGCACCAAGTTTCGCGTTTGCGATTGCGGCTGCAATGGATGGTTGTGCGAGTTGGTCGGCTCTTCGGCCTCATCAGAACTATCCACCGTGGATATGTCATCGTCATCTGAGGATACTCCCGACAATGACTCCACGTAATTTTGGTAATCAGTCTCCATTGCCTCACAGACTCGAAAATCAGACTTAATATATATTATTTACCGACTACGGCAGCAACGGGCTGACAACATAAAAATCAAAAAGCAGTTTAAGCACAGGCTTTAGCGACGGCTCTGACGCGCCGCCCCTCGCATGGAGTCCCGCTTGCTTTTCTTTCACAGTCTTTTTTAAATAAACTTTTCCATCGGAACCGAAAATTTTTTCGTTTATTCAGTTTATGTAGTTTGTGGATAGTAGAGGTGGCGGCCAGCCGATAAGTGTGTGCCCGTCGTATTTTGCTTATCGATAATTGGTGAAACAATTGTGTTTTGCTATCTGGCAACGCAGATTAGCCGCCAAAACTTCAATTCAATGATGGTAACACAAACTTAAGGACACTGTATAAAATGATGTTTATTTAATTACAATAAATAAACTATGTCTAATTTGGTATTTCTAATTTTTAGTGCTGATCGTAGCATTTTGTGTTTTTTGTTTTGTATCCGGTGCTACTGCTTCGCGTATATTCTGCTTTTCACGTACGATATGAAACGGCATAGGGATCTCTGCAGCGGGTTCAACGCCCATGCCCGAGCTTACTGCTGGCGGCTGTGGGAGAGGCGGCTCCTCATTTGTCTTGTTGAATATTACCCAGTTGTCCGGTCTGAGAAAATATTTCAAATTTTATATTCGTGAGTATCACAAGCTGGAATGGACTTACCTGTCCGGTTTTGTCAGCACGTTAATCGGGGCGAAGGCCACGTTCGTCAACTGTTTAACAACTGCACTAGCTGCAGCTGCTGATCGTTCGTCATAGTCCTCGGCATCGGCCAAGATGCTACTGCCCAACTGCTTTCCAAGGCTGTCCGTAAAAACTGTAACTTTACTATTGGCTGTGCTACGGCTGGAGGTGCTCAGCATTGGCCTGGGCATTTCTGTCACGTACGCTATCTGTGTCTTGTTGTCCAGCATGGGCAGCACGAAGTTATCGTCCAGGTAAGTCGTGTTCGATGTCGAGTTTTTCGGTGTCTTATTATCTACGACATTTGTATTTGTATTCTCATTGGATGCAGTCGGTTTATCTATTGGCCTGCTCCCCTTCGTAAAGTCAATGTTTTTGTTCGGCTCGTCATCGTCGTATGTGTAATCGTCGGTGGTGTCCGGTGCAATGTCATCAGTCGTAATATTGCTTAAAGTGCGACTCAAGAAATCGTAGTCCTTAATCATGTCTAGTTTGTGATCTGTACTCGAAATCTCATTAATGTTACTCCCTAAGTCCTTCAGTTCCTGCGTCCGGGCATAGTACGGTTGTGTCTGTGTCAGCGGTCGATGGCCCACCACAGAGCCAGTAGAGAAAGGACTCTGATTTGGTGTTAGCTCTCGATCGTAGTAGAGTTCGCTGTGGCTCTGCTGATAGTCGGGTTTGTACGGCGATTGTGAGACGAGGCCGTAGCTGCCTCCCAAGCTCTGCGGACTTGGGTAGGAACTAAACACGGGATTGTTATCCGGGCGTGGACGGATATTAAAGCTAAATATGCTGTCGGCTCCATTCGCGCTGGCCACACCAGAAATGCTGCCATAGTTGCCTGCACTGACGGCCGAGCTGGAGGCATGCAAATAATTATTTTGTGGGCTTACCCCGATTTGGGAGCTGCTCGAAGTCGAGTGGGTTTGGGATAAGGGTGGGCGTGGCGCATAGTGTGCCGGGCTGCTTATACTGAGAGAGCTGCTGATGGGACTATTTATCACATGAGTCTCTTGGTAAGGTCGCTCTTGATGGAACGAAGAAATTGGACTTGGCGTCTGTGGTGCTTGCGTTGGTCGTCTGTTGGCATTCGGATTGAAGGTATTGGTGGCAAAGGTTAAGAAGTTTTGAAATATATTCGGTGCACGTGTCGTGGTGCGTCTGTCGTCATTGTCGTTAAGGTAGATGATAGTCGGCGGCTTCGTTTTCTGTAGCTGTGGCGGTATGGTGTCCCTATGCGTTGGATAATAGCTGTAGCTGGGCGTTGTGCTGGCATAGTCCATGAACTGGGGAGCGTAGCTGTTTTCGTAGTTGTTGTAGGGTCTATAGACAGTCGACGTCGTATAGTCGGTATACTCTGCTGCAATCGGTCTCGTTACTGGAGTTTTGTTTGTCTGTCGTATATTGATCTCAATTTCGTATTGGTCGTTTGCATGGGGTCCGTTTACGACTACTTTCTGGGGGTAGACGGGTCTGCTTTGATAGTGGCTACGCAGTTCCACGCCCCGCTTTGTTGTCTTCGATATTTTGGAGGACTTGGTGGTGCGACTACGGGTAATGCTTGGCGTTGTTTTTCTCGATACTGTCTTTGTCGTAGTCAAATGAGTTGTCGTACGATTCCGTTGTCCGTGCAAGAGTTTAGTGCTGGGCACTTCGTCCGTTTTATTCGGTTTTGTCACTTGACGCGGCACGCGTTTGACATTGTCAAGGTCTGCTGGGTTTTGTCTCAGTGGGTCAAGTGGGTCAAGTG